TCCCCACAAACTGCTCCCGGAACCACAACTCTGCAGTCCGCACACGGGAGCGGGGACCAGGATCAATCAGGACTGAAGAGGAGTGATCAGAACCGATCAGCAGCCACCAGAATTGACCAAGAGTGACCACGATCTATCAGGACTGAAGAGGAGTGATCAGAACTGATCAGCAGCCACCAGAATTGACCAAGAGTGACCACGATCTATCAGGAGTGAAGAGGAGTGGTCAGAATTGATCAGGATTGATCAGAAGGGGAGAGGAGTGATCAGAGTAGATCCGGATCGATCAGGTGGGATCAGAACCGATCAGGAGTGAAGAGGAGTGAGGGATGAGCGAGAGAGGGGCAGAGGGAGAGGAGACTGTGCTGGGGAAAGTGGAATTTGAGAGGGAAAGGAGACAAAGGCAGCAGACAGAGAGAGGAATGATGAATCGGCTCCGATGATCCGAGCTGAAGGATGAGGTTAAAGATTGACAAGTGATGGATGGACTCCTCTCTCTCTGCCCCATTCCTGGGACCGAGGGCTGTTGCCAAGGTTACCGTGAGCCCCCCGCACTGGGAAAAATCCACTTGGGCCGTGGCCGGGTGATTGAACACTGCAACCCCCGCTCGCCCTCTCCGGAGCCTCTCCTTCCCCCCGGCATCTCCGAAGCACGCTGTCACGGGACGGCACAGCGCCGCTGGAGACACACAAGCATCGAGCAAGCAGCCCGGCAGAGAGATCTCTGGGGATGGGAGGACGTGCCCCCTCTGTCCATCACTGGACCGCGCCCGTGAATCTCAGCGGCCATCATCAGAACCACTCAGACACCGAGCACTAATAGGAAAGCCTCTCTGTATCTACAGTACAGCCCAGCGAGATCAGGGTAAAAGCACAGTACAGCGCAGTGAAGCCCAGCGAGATCAGGGTAAAAGCACAGTACAGCGCAGTGAAGCCCAGTGAGATCAGGGTAAAAGCACAATCAATACAGGGCAGTACAGCCCAGTGAGATCAGGGTAAAAGCACAGTCCAGTGCAGTAAA